CCAATGGACTAGTAAAACTTTAAAAGAAAAAAAATATTGCGTATGTAGAAAAAAACAATTTCAACCTTGCAAACCTAGAATTACATAATAAGCGACGAAAATGAGCATATCTATGAACCTCACACAATGTAAATATATATATATATATATATTCATTACATCAATATGTCAATAATTATATTAGATATTGTTTCTAAAGTTTTTCCTTGCCTAACCCGCAAAAGAAGACACATCTAGATCATATACCCCGTATTGCGTCAGTGTTTCCGTTGAGTTCAGTTTCAACAAACGACAGAGCTGTTCCTACCAACCTGCGTTCATGCATACATTCTTAACTTTTTTATTTCTTTCTGTTGTTTAGTCTTTGTTTACACATACACACTTGCGTGCTTTCAATGTTTTACGAATTTGCCGTTAGCGAATTTCAAGTAATTTTCTTCCTAGGACGAAAAGAAACAAGGCGACTGCTGTTCCTCCAGACATATTCTTGTTCATCTCTGATGCAGAGTTCACTGTACGAATAAGTTGAAAGAAAAATTATAAAGACAAGAAACACAATATAGTATGTGATTAGAAAATAACAAATAAAATATCAAAGGTACCCAAGATATGCAAGATAAAATAATATCTACTAAAGGTAAGAAAAATATTAAAGGTGCCCAAGATATGCAAGATTAACACTGAAAAAAACAAAACGTAAAATAATATCTTCTAAAGCTAAGAAAAATATCAAAGGTTTCCAAGATATATAAGATTATCATTGAAAAAACAAGACGTAAAATAATATCTTCTAAAGCTAAGAAAAATATTAAAGGTTCTCAAGATATGTAAGATTAACATTGAAAAAACAAGACGTAAAATAATATCTTCTAAAGCTAAGAAAAATATTAAAGGTTCTCAAGATATGTAAGATTAACACTGAAAAAACAAGACGTAAAATAATAACTTCTAAAGGTATGAAAAATATAAAAAAATAAGAGAAGTTATGAAACATGTGAAGTATAACGAAATATTGAGATAAAAATGAAGCATAACAGAAACATTAATGACAGAATTCTAAACTCAAAACAAAAACGTATATAGAAATATACTGGCTGCTTTTAGGTGCTGTAAAGATTCTGAATTAAAGTAGTATAAACTTGAAATGGTCAAAAAATAAAGTGTTTATACATTGATATTAAAAAACATTTTTACCCCAGAAAATCAGAAACGTCCCTAGATTTCATTAATTCCATTCTTTCAGTTCATTTTTATTGACTTAGCTCATCTCTTGTAGTATATCCTTATTTATAATAATTAAAAACTATATTATTTATGTTGTTGTTACGTACTTCTTAGCAATGTTAATACGAATGAACCTAATGTGGTATTTTCTTTTATATTTGTTGTACGCTAATGTTAATATCATAAACACTGTAGTATGTTATCATACCAATTATGATGAACAATAGCATAATTGTGAACACTGTTATTATGTTCTACTGTATATTATATATAATATAAGTTATTGTAAGAAACTAAATCACTTGTATTACATTGTATATTTTCGTTCTCATTATTGTTAAGGAAGTTATTCCAACTAACGCATAATATCGATATATAAAATGTGGTGTGACAATAAAAGATCGTTACGTTTTTCGTCTCTCTGTATATCTTCCCCGATTTACCTGTATAGTATTGGTTTCTGTTTTTCTTTGTCATTCTGTATCTATCTATCACACAGTTAATGTGTTTGCTTTTATTGTTTGTTTGTTTTGTTAAACGCAAATCTACACAATGAGTTGTCTGTGCTCTGTCCACCACGATCGGCCTGTCACATGATATAGTTATTGTATGGTCGACAGTTGTCAAAACAAAAGGCTTTTACTTATTCTTCTTAATAGTATAAATATATACTGTGTTGTTGTTGTTGGGCTTAGAATTCTTCTACTGTAGGTGTCTGTGACCTGTTTACGATAAATTCAACGATAGATGAACAGCACGCATTCACTTGTTTTCAAAATAATATATATATGTATATATATATATATATATAATATTATATAGTATATATAATATATATACTTCTCTTCTTTTTGTCAAAAGTCGACTTAGGCCTATTCATTTGATTTAGAATTTCAGTTGACAAGCCGAACATCTTCTCTATTACTATCGCACTAGTATTCTTTTTGTGATTCACTTACAATTGTGGCGTGAGTTACCGTAATTGTTTGTTCTTCTTTTTTCTAAATATCCTATGTTCCTTTTGTCAAAGTGCACTCCGGCTGATTCAATTACTGTAGAACCAGGCTTTGACAGAATAAATTCGTCTTCTTTTCTCCTTATTTACTGTTAGTCTTATTCTAATGTTAATCGTTAGGCCTATCACTTCTACGGTAGTTAACTTCACGCCGAACTTTTCCTTGCCTTTAACTTTACTCTCTTCTACTATTGTCTGTCTGCTGTTTCTGCTCATCTCACACTATTTATATGTTTTGCTCTTAATCGTCTACCCACCTTCTGGAAATTTCTATATTCTCGACGTCAAGATATTGCACGCGACGTTTGATAGTCTCAAATCAATGAATTATAAACCAACTTCCTACAATCGTTTGTTTTTAACTCTTATTATAACAAAACTAAACAACAATAACACATTCAATCGGAAAATAAATTAATCAATTATATCTAAACTAAACAATCTTTTACATCACGACAGGGTCTACTTTGGATATTCAAACAAATGAATAATCTATAAATGTGTTTTAGTTACTAATAAAGTAGTGTGTGTCAGAATATATAAAAATACTGTAACAATAAATTCATCTCACTTTACACAGAAATATTGTAACCTGTAATTTTGTAGAAAATCTAATTTATCAAAACTCATGCGATGAAAATCACGCACACTGATTAATTACTTTATTTTTATAAAAGTTTCACACTGTTTAAAGTTTTGATTCAATGTACATTTGATTTCAAACGCTAAATATGTCGATATAACACCTAATTTTAACTTACCATTGATTATCATATCCTTCTGGGCAGAGACTGTCTGGAATGAAGGGGCATCAGCTGACACTTCACATCGGAATACGCCTTGGGTAATCGGAGTTACTTTTGTGAGGACTACAATGTCTTTGTTCGATCGCTCAATCTGTAAGAAATTTCATACATTAATATTGACATCTTCTGTTACCGAATGGCTACGATATTTTTGTCCAAACCCTCAATCGAAAAAAAATTTATTATTGTTGTTAAAATTATCTGCTATTGTAGTCACTTTCGTCGAGTTTACGACGATTTGATTTCCAAGAAAAACATATAATTATTTCTAACACAATCTGTAACTGTTTTTTAAAAGCAAAGCCACATGAGGTTATCTGCTGTATCCACCGCGGGGAATCGAACTCTGGATTTTAGCATTTTATGTCCGTGAAATTACAGCTGTCCCCTCGGTGGACATTCTATGATAAGAAGAGACTCTTTAATGGCAAATACAATATCTTTGTTTGATAGTTCATGGTGAGAAGAGATTGTAGTACAGTTACTATTACCATCTGAGGTTAGATCCATTTGATAAGTTATATAATCAAATGTATGTCCTCTTGCCTTCTTTAAATAACTATGAAATATAATACATTTTCGCACAGCTTATAATTGATTAAACAAATCAACATTCCGAAAATTAACAAGTTGTTTAATATAATGTAACGTAAGCAATACAGACATGAAATGTAGGTATGTATTGTGACTATGCACATAAATCTGTTACTATCGCGTTTTGTTTTTGCTTCTAACAACATGACGCACAACTGTTGAATAAGGTATTTACCTGAACTAATAGTAAACAAATTCGGCTACATTTCGGGTCTGTTTTGGGGGTATATAATTTTAATTTCTAAAAATACGTTTCAACAACAACAACATAAGTGTTATTTAATTCAGATCTCGGGGGGACTGGCGGGCCGGTAGAGGGTTACGCCCTCTCGTCAGCCAAGCGACGAAAAAAGAAAAATGGGTTAAATTAATAATAGATGGGTAAGCTGCAAGTCAGCACAGAAGGCGGAAAATAGGGAAAACGTGATATTTGCAGATGGAGGAGACAATCCGGAGAAATATGGGTGAACACTAACCAGTTTATATCACATAATGGAGATTGTGTGGGAAGTGGCAACACGTATATCAAGTATTATGAATCAGGATAGATAAATGGGGAAGAGGGGACATTGGCATCTCGACGTGGTTGATATTTCATTGGTGGTAGTGTCCAGGATCACAGATGAGGAGTGGAATTCTCCGAAACTAGTCTGGCTTACAGACGCACACTCCAGTGAAAGAATAGACCATTCCAAGCTTTTAGTTGTTGTTAAACAAATGTTTAAACAACTCTATTTATTCAATTATTTAGAATGTTTTATTATATTATTTTAGTCATAACAATACTTTTCACTTATCTACATTTAGTAGACCTTATTTATGTGTCATACTTCAACTTTTACATTGTTTTTTTTCTATTGATAACTTTCGTACATTTTTCGTTTTTTTCTTTCACGTTTTTTGAAACAAAACTTTTAAATTTACACTTGCTTCTTGTATTTCGAACAAGAACACATTTTGTTCCAAGGTACCAACAAGCTAGGGTAAATAATTTCACGTACAGTGAATATGCAAAAGTAAGCTGCTTGTTATTATCTTATTAAATGTTTAATTTCCTAAATGTTTCTTTAATTCATAACTTGATGATGCTAAAATTGGGAGTTCGATCTCCTCAGAGGATACAGCACGAAGTTATTAAAGGGCTATCTTTACCAGCTGTCCGTAATTTTGAAATGATAAAGAGAAGGCAGTTTGTCACAAGTATCCACTGTCAACTCTTTAGAAACTTTTATTTAATCGAATAGTGGGATTTGACTGTCACCTTTATAACATATCCACGGTCCGAAAATGCGTATACGTTTAAAACGTTTATAGAGAAATATTCATTCTTTTTCAATTGTAAAATGAATATTGGCGTAGATATGTCGACGATGTTTTTTGCGCCTTTAACTTTGATTTCTACTTTATTGCTATTTACAATCCAATACATCGTACACATCAGTGAAAACCTAAATGGAGTATGGAAAAGCTCATGAAGAAACACAACATCGATATATGTATCATAATCATACAAAAGCCAGAAATTAAAATCAAGAATCTCCTTACTAACAACTACTCCACAGAGAATGAAAATAACAGAGCCATTTGTGTAGGGAAGCACATTACGCTAGGAGACATAAAAGACACAACGATTTGTAAGCATAATGAAAACATTTAATACATATACATGTTTCGACAGAGAATTGGTCTATTATACATAAAGAAGAGAGACCAATTCTCCGTCAAAACATGTTGTGTCTTATATATATATATATATAAAAAGAGCCATTTACAAAATCATATGCAACAAACAATTTTATATACCAGAAACAGGAAAAGAAATGTAATCAGAATTAAGGAACACCTTAAACAACTCTCACACGTTTTTGGACATCTCACTGAAACCCAACACATTATCACCGATATCATTCGAGGAGAACTAGACAACGACAGAAGAAAAATAGCTGAATCACTACTGATAAAGTCTGCAAGGTCAATGCTAAAAAATATCCAGGGCTCTATTTATCTATGTTAATATTTTATCATCTCATTTTACTAAAAAAGTAATTTAATGCCACCCAGAAATCTTGTCCTCCTTACCTTAGCGAGTCTGTAACGTTCTCTGAAATTCAAACTGCTTTGTTGAATGTAATTGTTACCTGATGATAACCCAATGTTATAAGTCGAAACGTTATAATCATTAAAATCAACATCGTTGTTGTTATTGTATATTTGAAATATTAATTAGTAGGCTCCTCACAAAACATTAATATGATATAAAACTTAATTGTCTCAATATTTTTTTTACATATATTTTCACTCTCATTTTATGCATTAGTCCAGATAAATGTTATATTTTCCAAAATCTCACCTTATGGCTTGGTTTATAAAAACAACTTTAGAAACACATAAGAATAAACAGGTAAAATTTATTTTATTTTTAAATGTGTATTTGTGGCCTAATAGTTAACATGATGAACTGCGAGTTTAGAGTCAATGGTTTGCGTTCCGTTGCCACAAATTTGCGCTTCACATTTTGGGGCTTAGTTTATGTTATAAGAGTGATGGTCAAATCCCGCTGTTCTATTAGACCATGGCCAAGTGCTTAGGGCACTCGACTCGCAATCTGAGGGTCGTGGGTTCGAATCCCCATCCCACCA